CTGAAAAACTTTGAAAAAGTCTTAAATTTCCTTCTTTGAAAGGTAGAGTAAATGCATGAAAACAAAAGCTCCGTGATTCCTCACGTTTAGCTGTGAATTCTGTTTCCGCAGCTGGACTTTCGCACGCCTCCCGGCTTTGACCGGACGAGGAATGCTGAGATAGGGAACAAGGACATCCGGTTGAAGCATCTGGAGGAGGCTTTCACCTCCGAGCACTGGCTGGTGCGTATCTACAGGGTCAAGAAGCAGGAGAACCGGCAGACGCTCGACCACAAGCTCCGCAATATCGCAGCAAAGCAGAAGTACACCTCAAAGAAGGTATCTGAGCTGTACTGAGTGGGTGGAGAAACGGGGAGGGTTGGGAAATGATTTCAAACCTGGGTTGCCTATGTCCAGCAAACCATCTACGACACCACAAGGGCCGGATTGCATTTTTCTCTAGAACGCTGCTGCTGTTTGTCGTGTTTGGGAAAACAAAACAGAAATAATAGTAAAAAGAAAAAGAGACAGGCTGAAAATTGAATATTATGTTTTGTTGAGTTTTGGAACCAAACTCTTTAAAGTATGGCGTGTATAATAAGAATATTGGTGCATCCCAGATGCTATCCTTTTAAACATATTTAAGCATTAGAATAATACACTAAACTTAGATGGCTGAAGCTTGTAAAAGTGCCATTTAACAGTATTTTTATTAGGAAAATGGAATGCTTGCCAAGATAGTATTTTTTTGGTTTCTATAGAGGAGTCAGTGACCTCATGCAAATTTCCCCACGTCAATATGAGTCATATGAACCAAACTCAATTCTCTATGATTTCTCTTAGCTGATATATACCAACCCCTGTGTCTTTATTATTTACCAAAGCGGAGATAAAAGTTTAGAAATTTGGTTGCTATGGTAAACTGTTTGCTAGGAAACGATCAGTGATATAAAAGAAATAATAATTTTACTTGAATGGTAAATAAATGGTAAATAAATCCCTTTCTCAATGGTATTATATCCCCCTGAATTATTTAAAAGAAATATTAAATATTTAACCCCTCAAGCTTCTCGATTTGAGTTACAGTTTTCCAAAGTTTGACCCCATGTTACGTCAAAGGAAATTTCCCATTAAGAGCCAACATAATAAAACAAATTCATACAAACTTCTGTATCAATTTTATAATCGTGATGTTTCCGTAATTGATATAACAATCTGTACATAATTAGTTCCTTCTGATGTTTTGCAGACAGCCAAGAGGAAGAGAGGACATATCAAAAACAAGTTTGTTGTAAAAAAAGGCAAGAAACTGACCAGGAAGTCTGTGTAGCTACTAAACCAGAATGTTAAGAATGGAACAAGAGGAAAACAAAAGACAAGAACTGATGCAACTAGTAAGTAACCCACCAATCAAAAATATGTTTGGCTCCGCCCACCCGAGTACCTCTGATTGGTGGCGATTGCCACGACAACGCTAAGGTTCCTTGATGCAGTGGAGGAAGACGGGAGTCAGTTTTAATCCGACAACTCTGGACTTACTTTTGTCGTGTTTTTGTTCTTGTTTTTCTTTTCTACCTGAACGCGCTGGTGATGCGAGAGCCCCGCCCACCTCTCAAGCATCAGCCAATTGTTTTCTGGTACAGTTTAATATCATCCAGCAAAGCTTAAAAAAAGCGACACATCTCAGTTCTGTTGAGCGCAGTGAACCCTGGAGCACCAAAGAGATTTGTTTTGTTTGTCAGCCTGTGAAAATTGTTACGTTTGGATTTAAAAACGGTAGAATATTAAAAATGGAAAGAGCTGCTAGAAGTCAAATGCTCTCTTGGTTTTAAATGTTTATAAGGAACTGGTTTCTTTGTGCCTGAGTTTTCTCTTCGTCAAGGCAAAGGCTTGATTTATTTTGTCTTTAACAATTGTGATGTCTTTCATGCTTTAGGTTTTTTTGTTTGTTTTTCATCGGTTTTCTTGCAATAATTCTAAATCAGAAATCTACTTTTATTATTTTTCTTGTGTTGATCCAGAGGGTTTGACTTCTTCAATGCACACATTTGCAAAAAAATCTGATTTTATTTTTCTTCAGGCCCCTTTAGAACCTTCCCCAGCTCCTGAACGACTGTCTGCCAGGGCCAGGAGAATTACGTTAGTTGTACGTTTATCAGATGCTGCATTTCTAGCCCGAATGCACTTTGTCTTCGTTCACCTTAATGTGGATCCACTACTGAGTAGCATGCAGGTGGAGAGTGCATATTTGTAGTGTTGGAATAGGGCACTTCCTGTAACACCTGAAGGTTTTGTCTTCCCTCTTTGTTTTGAAGGATTTCTTCCAGGTTTCCCCCTCTTCTCCACAACATGTCTGTTTTGTTTTCCTCAGTTAAACTCATGGGAAGGTATTTATTAATGAGAATTGATTTGAAGAGGAGGATTTCATCTCGAAATGCAAAAACTGTCATTGTTTTCCAAGTGAAAATTGATTCCATAAATTGTAAAGTTTAAATTTAGAGAAGGGTTAAAAAAAGCGTTTTGTGAGAATGGGTAGTTGCCATTTGTGATTAAAAGACTCGAAGAACGACTGTCTGATCTTTGTTTGCACTCTCATGTTTTTTTCTCGAAGCAGGTTTTGCATACATCGAAGTTAATAACATGAAATGAGAACTTCCGTTTCTGTGCTTAAAATATGTACTTTAATAATGTGTACGTTAATAACGCTTGTATCTAGCCACTTGGTTGCATCATTTTGTTGTAGGGAGCAAGGAGCACACGGAGGAGATTATAGTCAAAATGATGCTAGACAGTCCCATTTACCAATGAGAGAGTCCTCTGAAGATGTAGTATTTGAACGCTGGGTAGACTGCGTCCTCCGAAGGAGCAACACCTGGATTGGGACACGGCTCTACACTGTGTGAAACCATAGATGTTTGTGTAACCTAATCATATTAGGTTTCTGACGAAGTGGCGCAGCCAGCCGTGGGAATGTCACTCTCATGTAAATTTTATTCAACAATGGAGTCTTTGAACAATGGTTTACAAGTTTTTGAATGTGTTATCTTCTGTAAAGTTAAGCTTGTTCAACATGGGAGTAAATGAGAGTTTGCTCACAATACCCCAGCCACAAGTGGCTCGATGATTGTAAAGTTTCAGCAACTTCCTGTTGCACAGCCGGAGAGATCTAGGGGTCTTCTTCTGAATCTGGGCGGAGACTGGATTTCTGCGAAAAAATTTTAAACACAAATTTAAGAAAAAAATGAGAAAAAATATACTTCAGATCGAGGGAGGCAAATTTCCCAGCATGCATCGCGGGAGCTGGCACAACGATGGCTGCCCAAGTAATCATAAATATTTAAAATAAAACATTGTGTTAATTAAGTGTTTTACAATTATGAAAACATTCATTTATGTTAGTTTTCACGTAATGATTACACCTTATGTCCTAAAGTGTAACTCCTAAAGTTTTTCTTGAAAAATGCACTCATGACATTACATTTACATTTACCGGTATGTATTTAGCAGATGCTTTTATCCAAAGTGACTTATATTGGGAGTAAACATCAAGCAGTTTGGTACAGAGTGGTTTGATCAGAAGACACACATAAAACACTTTAAAGCTAGTACAGAACATGAATTCAAATCAGTGCTTCAGAGTTTTTTTTTAAAGTTAAGTTAGTAAGTGCTCAAGACATTTTCATAAGTTGCAACATTAAGAAATCCACCGTTTTGTGTTAGAATTCATGTCATAAATGCATATATAAGTCTAAATAATTATAAGTCGCAAAAAGGTTAGTAAATTTTGGACTAATAACTTTAAAGATCACTTGATAGTCTCCTGTATGGCGCAGTTAAGTTCAATGCTTAAAAATTTACAAATGACCAAAAGTTCTGCATTTGCTGATATTTTAGAACCGTTTCAAATCTATTTTCAAGTGTTAAACATTGATATTTCAAGAAACTAAAGTTCAGATCAAATTTATTCTGTTCCTTTATCTACGAATTTGGGACTTTATAAAATGTTAGCGGAGAAAATGTCATTTTGTTAGGGCAGTTTGTTGTAATTATGATAAAGGTCTAAAATTGATTTTTATTGGTCTTTAAAAGTCTTAAAGGGGAGTATTATATGTTATATTTTTTACTATGAAATGTAGCGGCGGTTGGAAAATGAAAACAAACGGTGGCAGTGCGCATGGAGTGTGACGCACTAAAGGGGGCGTGTCATATATATATATATATATATATATATATATATATATATATAAAAATTTTTCCATAGTAAAAACAGTGAAATCGTGTTTTTGCAAAATGGCAACGGAGTATTTTAACTATTTTTGACGAAGCGTGTCATCCTTGGGAAGCGTAAAGAGGGCTCTCTCCTTGGCATCCAAACACATCTCCTTGTAGAAGTCGTTTTGTAATCCGGGGAACTATAGAGAAAAGCACTCTGAACGTGGAGCTTCGTTGACACGAAGTGAGACCAGCTGTTGATAACAGTAGCTCCCTCTGCCGTAGACGCGAGTCTTTGCCGGAGCTGGAGGGGGTGCAGCAGCAGACGGGGGACAGAGGCGGAGCTACGGGCGGATCGGCCGTAGACGGGCGAACCGCTCGAGTTCAGAAAATATACGATATATATATATAGATATAGATATTCCCCGCCGCGTGACCAATCAGAAGCTCGGAGATTGTTTAGAATTAAAACAGTGAAGGACTGTCAAAACTTTTTTTCATCTTCATGCTTTTAAAGTTATACATAATTGTTTATTATAAATAATAATTTAAAAGAATAAGAAATAATATTTATATTTTATACAACTTGGCAGAAATTCATATATATTCCTCCGCTGAATGAATGCCCTCTGCCAGGGATTCGAACCCGGGTCTCCCGTGTAAGGAGTCTGCAGTGTGACCACTACACTATCCTACATATAGTAATAAAATTTTCCATAATAATCAAGTTTGGTCAAAATACCAAATATAAATAAAGTTGTGAAAAATTGTGACACATATATACCACTGGATCATATATACCAATAGATGTGTAAGATGGTGTAGTGGTAACACTGTCGTCCTTCACATGGGAGACCGGGGTTCAAATCCTGGTCGGGACGTTTCTCCCCCCCTCAAGAGTTACAACAATGCTACGGCAAGGGGGAGCCAGTACAGGACATCTGTGGTGGGGATGATGATATCCTCGCTCCCCCCCATCCTTCCTTGCCTGCCGTAGAATTAGTATATATTTTAATTACGTTTTAATTAAAAAAAAAATTGTAGGCCTTCCATTTCGCATGGGAGACTGGGATTCTGATCTTCCTCATGAGATACAACACTAATGCTACGGCAAGGAAGGATGGGGGGTGGTGGGGGGGATGTGAGGGGTGGGGCGTGGTGGGGGATGTGGGGGCAGGACGCCAGGACAGTGGGGATATCATCATCCCCCCAAAGACCAAGGCCCATGAGCATGGGGGTGCCAGAGTATGGTAGTATTTAGTGCTAAATACTACCATACTCTGGCTCCCCCATGCTCATGGGCCTTGGTCTTTGGGGGGGATGATGATATCCCCACTGTCCTGGCTCCTCGTTGCCGTAGCATTGTTGTATCTCTTGAGGGGGGATTTGAACCCCAGTCTCCCATGTGAAGGGCAACAGTGTAACCACTACACCAGCCTACACATCCACTACATTATCCAGTGGTATATATGTGTCACCATTTTTCACAACTTTATTTATATTTGGTATTTCGATCAACCTTAATTATTATGGAAAAAGGTATCCTATGTATATATATTAGTATAGTGGTAACACTGCAGCCTCCTCACACGGGAGACCCGGGTTCGGATCTCGGCCAGTGCATAACACAAGTAGGTTTATTTATATTTCTTCTAAGGAAGATACTTTTATTCATTCTTCAATCATCAAAAGAATATATAATTTTATTCTTTTCAATTATTATTTATAATAGACTATTATTTATAGCTTTAAAAGCATGAAGATGCGGCTCATAGCACTCACCGCGTTCGATGTGAACGTACCTTAATGCGTGCATTTAGCTGTTTGACCTTTAAAATTAACGCGAAATCTACAAAAGCCCTGCTCGGTGTAATATTGTTCCTGTCCACTAGATGGCAGCACAAGAGCATCTGCTGTGCAACCTTAAACAGAACACTGAAAACTTGATCACATGTGCGGTCAAGAATGGGAAAATGTTCATGATTAATATGCATTTGGTTATAGTTGTTAGCTCTCTAAAGTAGCAAATGTTTATTAAGATTTACTGTTACTATGAACAAAACCTACTGGCTAAATAAAATAGTCCAACAAATGAAATATTTGGTCAGATTTGATGAACTTAACCCGGGTTTTTCAACATCTTAACCCGCGTCAATGCAAATAACGATCAGATCAGCGGTTACATGGCTATTGTAAAGGTTCAATTTAGTTAAATATCTCAAACTAGCAATGTTTTGAAGTAATGTGTACTTTCTACTTGTACCTCATGGGTAAGAACTGGAAAGCCTGTCCATGATTAAAAGAGCCAGAACCTTCTGTTTTATTCTTCCTTCAGAGGTCAACGTCTCCACAATCACATGCTGTGCCTGACCAAAGCGTACGATTACATTAAATGTCCTGATGCACAGTAGCAGCTCTACTTCAATACCCACAATGCAACAGATTGGTAGCAATCTACAACAGCCAGCAGTCATTATACCCCGCTCCAGAATCTCCATCCCCTTTCAAGTGTGGAAACACTTTGAAGAATATTGATCACGGTTGTAATACACAGACATGAAACTATTGCACAAAGTAGCAGTGTCCTGGCCTCCCATTTCATTATCCGGAGGGTTTTGAGGAACCACCTTTTGGTTAATGGAGGATTTTTGGCACGGATTGCTCTCCCTCAGACATCATTAGAAGTGTCTGCTGCTCATGGAGTTCTACTGGCTTGACAGCTCCTCATTGGCGCAATCCTGCCCACCAGTGACACCAGGCAGAGGTGAACCAGTATCGTCACTCCTTGTTCACTTGGTTTTCCATAGAGGATTTTGGTAGACCCATCCCTCACCCTGTGGGACACAAACACAGCTGATAAGAGGAGCAATATCCTGCAGAACACTGCTGGAGCTCATCATCACAAAGCTAAACATTTAATAATTCATAAAAATCTAAAATGTTCTGAAATGTGTTATTTAAAAAAAATGTTTTTTTTTTTTAAATTCCTTAATATAAACAGGTCAAACGGATGAATCAAAACTGTCCACAACAGTGAAAATGTGATGTGAATGTTTTCTTTCTAAAATATTGTTTGTTATTAACGCTTGAAAAGAACTTCAGATGAACAGTTAAATAGTTCTGAAAGAACCATTTGTAAACATGTCGCTTGTAAAAAAAAATATAACATAAGACTATATTGTGACATGTCATTAGTCTAAATGTTTCCTTAAAACTACTTTGTGTAATCTACAATACCCTATTCAGTGTATAAATGCACTTAACACATGAAATCTAATGTTAAACAATACATTTGCATCTTTTAAAAAAATGTCACGAGCGAATAAATTGTGACACTTTTTTATAATTTCGGACTTAATTTAAATTTCGGACTTTATGCTTCATAATTTTTAAACAATAATAAAACAATTATTTGTGGCAGCATAGCTGTCTTCTTTGTTAAACAACCAAAAGCTATGGAAAAACTAATTTCATTAAATTTAAGACACTTAAAGGCCTAAAATTTGGGTTTTTCAATTTTTAGACTGTAAAATTCTGAATAATGCATAACAGCACTGTTGACTACAGTATAAAATTCACAGTAAACAAATAGCTATTTTATATTACACCAGAAGATGGCAGTAGACACATGGTTGCAGCCCACTCTAACTTAAGTAAACCAGATAATTTCAAAAACTAAAAATCAAACAAAAGTTGATTGTAAACATTGAGTGAAAATTTGATATTAAATATGAAAGAAATATTGAATTAATTTTTTAATTTTCTTGAAGTAAATAGTTTCTAAAATCTCAGTTTCTTTTTGGTGATCCAAACATCAAATCTTCTTCATATATATTTGTCCTAAAAATCAAATGCAGATTTAATTGGGTTTAATGCTGTTAAATGGAACGTTACTGGTTCAAATCACAAACACCTTGACCCATTTTCTGCTGATCCAATCTTTACCGTTGAAAATAAGTTTGGACACTACATGTACCACACGTGTTTTGAACTACAACAGGAAGAGGAAGTGATGCGTCACCTCTTGAACAAAGTACTGTGGCTTCCAGCTGGTTCCTGAGGCTGCTCTCTGCTTGCTCTCTCTCCTCTGCTTCTCCTCCAGTATCTGCTTGTGTTCCGTGGCTGCATCAATGTCTCCACCCTTCAGCGCTGCCGTAACCTGCTGCCAGAGACGCCTGGAAAAAAGCCAAATTAATATACATAGATATATTTAAAATATTCGTATATTAGGGGTGTATCACGATATAATACATAGCTTAATGTTATGTCTACGATAAGCTTCTTAACACTTTTTTTTAACAACTATTGAAACTGTTTAAATAACGAACCGTCATTAGAAAAAGAAACGTACCGGTAATTTAAAAGTTTTGAGACCACAAAGCTAGGCTCTAGTTTTATTTGTATGAGAGCATTTGATGCATCCGTCCACTAGGGGGCAGTGTTTGTATTAAGTTATCTATTTTACTCTAGGCTAATTCTTTAAAATGTGAGTAAATGATAATTATCTTCTAATAAATATTACATAAAACAAGAAGAGACGGTAAAGAAGTTGCAGAAGTGACTTGAATCACATTCGCGTAAGCTTCAATACGATATCTCCCAGTAGCTCCTTCATAGTCCCGATATCTTTAACATTTGCTTTTAAGAGGGAAGGATAAATTAGGTGATAATTTTACTCACCTGGACTCGTAAGGTCCTTGTTTGTGAAGTGGGCGGATCTTCTTCCTGATGATTGGCAGCCTAGAGGTGTCAATCACTTTGCTCTCTCCGGTGCTGTAGGTGAACTCCAGTATCCCGTTCCACTCGCCCTGAGCCTTGCAGACCACCGTCCCACTGACACCATGCTTCACCTCCGCCGTCACGCTAAAGAAAAGCCACAAAAACATGCAGATTGTGTCGACCTCTTTAAACGTCTTGATCATGCTTCTCACCTCGGATGAAGCACTTTCTCTCAAATCCAAACTACTCTTTGTTGTTAATGTTATTGTATTTACTAGTTGTTTTGAAAGATTAGCCAATTCCAATTAATCCAATTAGCATTTTGGAGAACTGTGATTTGTTCTAAAGCCAACAAGATTTTTCCTTTTTTTTTACGCACCTATAAGAAACCAGAATTCCATAGAATTACGCATATAGGAAATAAAACATGTTCTGTTAAACATTGCGCAGCACAACAGTGACACGAATCACTTGAGAAGATTCTATCGAAACTCTTTAAGAGCTATTTAATGAATAAATCACTGCTCCACATAGTTTGAATTCCATCCTGTAGTGGCAACTTTTCCTAGCTTCGACACCTTGAAATAATCTTTTGTTTATTACAGTTATATTTTCTGAAGAGCTCCGTTCTTTCTCACCGGTGGACCTTGCCGCCGTAGAATGGTTTGGTGTGGAAGGTGACGGTGGCGCAGTACCCAGTCCGGGCACAGCAGATGGACACTTTTCCCCCAAGCTCGACCCAGGGCACAGTGAGGATAGAGCGGGCGAAGGCAGAAGGCAGAGTGAAAACATACTGCTCGTCATGATCCAGCAAGTGCAGAACTCCTAACACAACAGAGAGAAACTGCGTTCGTCAGAACACACTCGCCAGCAGAGTTTCAGATAGTAGCGGCTAGTCCATGCCACCAAGAACTACGTTCCAAAATAAATTTAATTTCACGCTTGATCAAAACAAAGGAAAGTCCATCCAACCAATTCAAATAACTCAACCATTTCCAACCTCACTTCCTCTCTGAAAGAGCAAGTATTTATGCGGTGCACAACAGTCCCTAGTGGCCAGGATGAGAATAAACGGAATGCTACTGTCAGGTAAAACGACATTATTTGACTTTAAACCTGAACTAGTTTTGTTCATGGTTTTGATCCATATTTTTTCATATTT